GTTTGTTTTCTTTCCACATTTTTTGCAATAACAATTTGGGCATCAGCAAAATAGGACATAATAAACCAACAGGATCAAATACCTTACGAGTAACAGAAAGAATTATTCTTTTGGACAAAGTTTCAAATTTATAGCTGTCTAACCAGTCCAGATTTATCATCAGCGTATCCTTTTTTCTATCCCATAAAAGTCCTAATACAGAAGTAAATGGTTGAGGATCATTATCATTGGTGTACTGCCAGTCTCTCAAATTGAATTTTCCTTCACTCAATATGGCTTGAGGTGTCTCAATGAAGGGTAATATATCACATGTATCATTTAAGCTTGTTACTATATTATCAACATAGAAACTCGAAAGAAGAATCTTAACATAATCTTGATTATATCTGGCATCATTCAAATATTTTCCAAATGATAATCTAAGACTGCTGCCAAAAGAAAAAGGCTGCTATTTACAAGCTCAAAGTTGATGTCTGATGTTCTTCTGCGTTAGAATTTTCAATTTGGAAATACTGATCAATAGTTTTAATTTACTTCACTTTTCTTTATAAAGCATTGCATAATTCTTTGTCTTCTTTATTTTTTAAGTCCCACTTAAAACTTTCTACTTCATATTATAAGATTATTTATGTCTATAAATACAGTCTATAAATAAAAAGGCATATAAATACAGTACATCATTTAATGAATCAAGAAAATTTTAATAATATTGTTCAAATACAGTCAAAAGTCGTTAATACGGACTCGTCGGGACTTCGGCTATTCCGGATTATCGATTTTTCCGGATTATAGATCATCAGTTTAAATCTCGTAAGTTGGCATGCAGAAATTCTAAAATTAAAAATATGAAACCATAATTTATGAAATAAAGAACAATTATGATCTAAAGGGTATCAAAATTTACAAAAAAAAAGCTTAATATTTATTTGTTTACTTTATTAAACATTTCTTTCAATGTAAGTTGTTTAAGTTGCTTCGTTTTATGTGATAATACTTTCTCTTTAATTCTATAAACAGACATAATTTCTTGTTCAGTTACAAAGTTCCGCTGTTCAACTCTCATAATTGCTGTGCCGAGAATACCGACTAACTTGTCAATTAAAATTTTTCGTTTTCACTAACCTCTCTGTCACCTTCTTCATGTCTTTATCCATTTTTTGCAGCAATTCCACTTTTTGTTTGATGGACATCGAAACATACTTTCGTTTTGTAGACCCTTTGGGAGCTCCAGCATCGGAAATTCTATCTGACATAATTGAAAGTTCAAGCTTACTTTTATAAAATTGCTCTTACAGTCTGCAAAAAATAATAAGCCGCATCCAATTCGAAGATTAAGGAACAACGCAATCATCAACATTAACTAAAATAGATAATTAGATAATTTTAGCTTATATTGTCCGTTATACATTAAATGCACACGCGAAAACGTATTCCGTGCTTACGCACACACATATGCGCAGTCGTAAATGTCTTACGCGCACGTGTAAACACCTATGCGCAGAAAGTTTTTAGCTTTGAGGTCCGGATTATGGGTGTCCGAATTAACGACTTTTGACTGTATTATATTCTGTATTGTTTTTCAAAAAGGAAAGCAATTTATTTAACATTTTTTAAAATTAATTTCCAATATAAAATTAGTTCTAATAATTTTAATCTCAACATTTCATTCCCATGTATCTGCGTGAGCTAAAACTAAGGCAATCTCACCAAATTCCCACTATGGTCAAATGATGAAAATGTGAAGTGGTAGAAAGGACCATATATTATACTTCATAAACTTTAATTAAACATTTGATAAACTGTAATTAATAGTATATGCATCAAATAACTAAATTAGTTTAATACAATCTACAACAAAAAGAAATTAATGCTCCAAGAAGGAATCATCTGATTGCTTTGAAATCTTATATGCATAAATGTTTTGACTAAAGATGCAAATGATTAAAATTTGGTGTCCAATGAATGAATTGTGTGATCTCTAGTGCACTGGAACTGCACATCTAGCAGATGTATACAAGGAGCTATTCTTGAACTGTTGTTAAAATTTTCTGTTGTGATTTAGGATACCTTTCAACGACTGAAAAAAAATGCCTCACTGCAGGATTTGAGCTCATTATGAGCAACTGCCAGAGTTCGAAAGAGGTCGTACCATTGCACTGAAAGAGACAGGTTGAGCTAATCGGAGAATTTCTTGTCATATGAGTTGAAGTGATGCGGTGATTAGAAGATGCTGGCAAGAATGGGTGGACAATGGAAGATTTCAGAGTCATGGTGGTAGCGGTCGACCTAGGGCGACAACAGATCGGGAGGACAGAGTGATTGTCAGATCAGCTGTCACAGTGCTTGATTCATCACTATCAACCCTCAGACGTGTGACACGCAAATGAGTGTCCACCATGACCATCGACAGATGGCTGATAGAGCGAAATCTACGCTCATACTGACCGTTACATCACCTGCCACTCATGCCTGCACACTGTCGATCCAGATTACAATGGTGCTTGGCCCGACCAGGTTGGAATGATGCTGACTGGGGATGTACAGCTTTCAGCGATGTATCTCGCTTCCAACTGTGTCGTGACGATCATCGAAGATGTGTCTGAAGACATCCAGAGCAGCCTGCTGATTCTGCTTTCACTATTGCACGTCACACGGGTCCTCAACCAGGAGTTATGGTTTGGGGTGCCATTTCCCTTGATATCCTGATCCCTTTGGTCGTCATTAAGAAGCTAAGGAGGCACACTTACAGCACAGTGGTACGTCAAACACATTTTCAGACCTGTTTTGCTACCTTTCCTTTTGCAGTACCCTGGCCTTATTTTTCAGAAAGATAATGGCTGACCACATATGGCATATGTTGCTATGAACTGTCTTACAGCTTGTCAAACATTTCCTTGGCCAGCCAGATCTCTCTCCCATCTACCATGTTTGGGATATGATGGGAAGGCGACTGCATCTACCAGGGAATGTTAATAACCTAGCTCGACAATTGGAGAAAATTTGGCAAGAAATACTGCAGGAAAGCCATCTGGAAGCTTTATCTCATCAGGCACGTCGTGTGACAGCTTGCACCCAGGCAAGAGCTGAGTCAATACCTTATTGAGGTCGCTACTTCGTAACTATGTAACTCTGAAATAAATCATTCAACTGTTCTGAAATTTTAATCATTTTCTATTCTGTACATAATTTTTCCATCTACCAATTTTCGCCCCATCGGACAACGCCTTCTTGGTGCGTCGATTTTTTTGTTATAGAGTGTTTTTCTTATTAAACATACTTTCAAAATTATTAACTAAACACATTTTTTGTTGATTTTTTTTATCAAAATTGTACTGCATGCATACAACTTTTTCTTTTTTAAAGTACATTTATTATCAGATTGCAGTTTAAATAAATAAATGCTTATTTAATTTTGGGCCAGTTCTTCAATATCTGTTTATTCTTGTAGCACACATTTAGAATACAAATTGTCGATTTAAATAAAAATTCATTCTCATCACATTCTCAAACATTTTAATGCAATTTTTCTAACAGAGATGGGAAAAAAAAAAATTCTAAAAAAAAAAAAAAAAAAAAAAAAAAAAAAAAAAAAAAAAAAAAAAAATATCTGAAAGGTTTTAAATTTTAGCAGCTGCCCAAAATGGTTTGTTACGAATGATCGTTCTAGGTACCATTGTTTTTTCACAAGGCGAGGAACATACATTCAAACTTACAGATTCTTCATCATCATTAGATTATCAAAATTTAGATACAGCACAAAGTCCGTAATCCGGACTCATCGGGACTTCGGCGATTCCGGATTAGGGGTTTTTCCAGATTATAGATCATCAATTTAAATATGGTAAGATGGCATGCAGAAGTTGTATAATTAAAAATATGAAAAATCATAATTTATGAAATAAAGAGCAATTATGATCTAAAGGGTATCAAAATTTACAAAAAAAAAAAAAAAAAAAAAAAAAAAAGCTTAATATTTATTTGTTTACTTTATTTAACATTTCTTTCAATGTAAGTTGTTTAAGTTGCTTCATTTTTTGTGCTAATACTTTCTCTTTAATTCTATAAACAGACATAATTTCTTGTTCAGTTACAAAGTTCCACTGTTGAAGTCCTGTAATTGCTGTGTCGAGAATACTGACTAACATGTGAATAGAAATTTTTTCGTTTTGAATAATTTCTCTGTCACTTTCTTCACTATTGGAAGCGCGCATGGGTAAATGCATGCGCACATGTGTAAATGCATTACGCATATGCGTAAGTTTGTGGCTTTGAGGTCCGGATTATAGATCATTCCGAATAATGGACATCTGGATTACGGACTTTGTACTGTATAATAAAGGGATAGCTGTTCATTTGCTTTAAAAATTTTGAAATAATTATGACTATAATCTGATTAGATTTGGAGTTAATGCTTTATTATTCTGTGGTTAGAAGAACTAGGCATTGTCTTATGTTATTCATATCTTATTAAGCATCAATATGATAGTAATTAAATGTTACTAACTATATGATAGTAATTAAATGTTAACTCATTGAGGATATATCTAAAAACAGAGAAACTCTGATCACTCTTGGAAATGTGCTTATAAATGAGCATATAAAACATCAAAATTTGGATTGTTTACCTCATCAAAATTTGAGCTGTGATTAAAAAATAAATTGGGGAAAATTATTAAAAACATCAGCAAAGAATGAACTTTAAGGCAAAAATTACAATATTTTTACTACCCTTGAAACAGAGACAGCAAAGTTAAAATATAAAATATGTAAATATCATGTATGTCTACAGTATATTAATTTAAAGAGTGATGAATGCTATTAATCTCAATATTTTTTACGTACATACATTTAAAAGGAACTGCTTTCATATATGTATAGCTTTGTTTTGCTCTAATACAGTTTCAGAAACAGTATTAACTTTCATCTTCAGAATCTTACAACCTCCTCTTTTTTTGTATGCAGCTAAGGATTAATTTTATCACCATTACTTGAATACTTACTTGACTGTGGTGTCTTTAGAGTAGGGTCTTGAGCTTTCAGCAAAATACTTTCAACTTTTTGTTCCAACAGAAAGTACTTAGAACTAAGTTTCTCAATTTTTCCTTCTATATTTTTCAACTTATTTATAAATGAAAACTGCATTGTCATCAGCATTTCCTACAAAACAGTGTTTCAAATTAAAAATAAAATGCATAAAAAACTATTACAGGATATTTCTTAATACAGTGTTGACAGCACACAGTGAAGCAAATTGAATCTCAATTTTTGCACATTTTAAACATGAATACAAATGCATCTACTCAAAGAAATATAAATATTTTTATTAAATGAAATCTTTTATTAAGAATTTGTTAGTACAGTTATTAATGATGTTAACAATGTTTTTCAGTATGCCAGTTACTAAAATATTAACTCTAACAGAATTTTATAAATACAGCTTGTTTCAATCCACTCTTCTCCTCACATGATTTCTTTCATTTGCGCTGATTTTGATAACTAAATATATTTGTTTCACCATAAAAAATTTGAAAGAAACCATCACTAAAGAACATGTCTGGGACTGCAGAAATACTGCTAAGCCTGGAAAGAATTGCTTTATTCCTGGATTTTCTGTTAATACATTGAAAACAGGAATGCTGTCTTACATAATCCCCGAATTTATTGTGATAGTAGTCTCTATATCTTTATCATCAAGATCTTGAAACTGCTACTGCCTGCATCACTTAGAAAATGGAAAGCATTTCTTTTTCTATAACCTTTCAATAAATAATTTGTTTAATAAAAACTAGGTAAGTAAAACTGAGTAATTTAAGTTTAATAAAAACTGATGTTGATGTTTCACTTAGAATACAAGGTTTCATCCAATAATGCATTAACAACAGCGGAAGCTCTAGTTTTTATTTTTTAAGGTCAACAGGATTCAAAAAAGCAAAACACAATGACAGAGTAATAACAGAACTCTGTGTGATATATACTTAAATGACAGGCATTCCAACAACTGATAGAAAACGTGTTAACACTGGTAGTTTAACCTGGGTTCGATAACATGCACACATGTTGGCTACACAGGCATTTTCATGATTTCCCCCATGTATAATATCATCGTGAACAGGTTGGCTGCATGGGCATTTTCATATTTTCCCATGTATAAGTCCTCCACAAAGGGACTGCTCTCCTTAGGCAGATAATCCTAACATGCTTTGTCATTTAGAAGTCAAGCAATCTTAATGCTTTGTCATGTTCAAATAAACCACATTTCAATGATAAACTTTCAATTTAACTCAAACTTCATAAAAAATTCTAAACGTAAGTCAGGAATTAAATTAACTAGTAAAATAGAATTTAAAATTTATAACAATTATAATTCCTTTACTAACTTTCAAAAACTTCTCCAAAACTCCTATTGTAAAATAACACTTTCTTTTGGTTTTGGTTTATTTTATTGTGGCAAAGCCTTGATTACTATTTGCCTAAGAGGAGGAATGCCTTCGTGGAGGACTATCTAAGGGAAACTGGCTCGTATACATTTTACACATGGGGAAACACACCTTCTTTTGTTATTGTTGAAATGTATAAAATTAGCTACTATCTATTAAAAACTACCAAATTTGATAAAATAATTTCTTATTGTTTATTAGGCATTTTCTAGGATTTCAAAGGCTTAAATGAAAATAATTACATAGTGACTTTAAAAATAAGACAGATGCTTTAAAAAATAAATACTAAAGTTCAAAATTCATACAACAGGGCATATGATCACTCAAAATTAATACAAATTATATTACAGCAAAGCTCACATTATCATCATAGTTCTTGGACCACAAGTAAAGTTTCCAAAGTATAAAGATTTTTTATTTCAAACACCCATTTCTAGCAGTATACAGTTAAAATTCTGATCACTGATATATTCATTCCTGCATTGGTGTGGATTACACAGTACTTATCTACAAAGTTTCAAATTCCTAGATTCTAAATTTATAAAAATGCAAAATTCAAAAATTGTATGCTCATAAAAACATGTATCTACTATAAAATTTGAAAGTAACTTTATCTTCTGAACAAATTTTAAGGTTATTTTCTTAAAATTTTCAGAACTAGCAGAAATTACAAAATTTTAATTACCACAGACAACTTTAAATTCTTATTATGGTTCAATAGTTCTTTTGTTGTTTGTGACTATTTAAAAGCAAATTAACAGACATGGTTTCCTAAATTAAGAGAATGTAAAATTTAAAAATAATTTAATGTGTACCAAAATAAATGTATTAAAAGTACCTGGAAATAATTTCATTCTACACATTTTAGTAGCTTAAATTGTTAACTTTTCCATAATTCCATACCTCCTCAATAAGTAATTGCATTTTTACTTCACCAGAATTAAAAAACTGATACAATAAAACCTCACTCAATAAAAATGGCAAAGAATGCAAAACCAGTCTGTGATGTTTTTAAAGCAATTATTTTACATATCTTAGGGGGGACATATATACCTTTTTAGTTAAAAACATGAGATCTTAGTTTATTTTATGCAAAAAATTAGCAAATAATACAAATTGCTGCTTAGGAGATATGATTAGTTACTTATCGTCATTAAAGGATCACTTCAATAAAATTTTACATTACATTTAAAACTACCTACAAATATAAAGAAGGGGGAAAAAAAGAAAAGAAAAGATTTTTTTTTTTCGGTATGTCTCACACATAGCTTTGACATTCTGTGAAGAAATTTGTTGATGACCAACGACTGGTGTTGCCAGTATTCTCGAACAAGATTCCTGAAGCTGAAAACTCTTGTAGTTCCAGAGTTCTATGGCTTTTTTTTTTTTTTTTTTTAATTTTATGTATATAAATTTCTATATACTCATGCACTTAAACTATAGTACTACAAATTTTTAATACAATTTTTCACGAAACATTGCTTCAGTAATTTTAATCCATTAAGAGCAATAAAAACTAAACATAAGGAATTTTTTTTTATTAGCAAGTTCACATAATTTCCCTTATGCGATTTAAGCGAAAAACTTTAAAAGGAGAATATCAGAACTTATTTCATGCAAAATGTATTTAAAATTATTATTCTACACAGGTGAATCAAGTTGCAGGCACAAGTTTCTTCAGTTGGAAGCATGAGTTCGGCAATTACAAGTGACAAGTTTTTTCTCTGTATACAGTCAAAAGTCGTTAATTCGGACACCCATAATCCGGACCTCAAAGCTACAAACTTTCTGCACATGCATCGCGTTGCCGCATGCGCATAAGACTTTTACGGCTGCGAATATGCGTGTGCGCGTGCGCAAAATACATTTACGAATGCGCATTTAATGTATAACGGACGGTATAAGCTAAGCTAAAATTATCTAATTATCTATTTCAGTTAATGTTTCAGATTGCTTTGTTCCTTAATCTTCGAACTGTATTTGGCTTATTATTTTTTGCAAACTGTTAGAGCAATTTTATAAAAGTAAGCTTGAACTTTCGATTATGTCAAATAGAATTTCTGATATATATTTACTAATATGTAAAGGATCTACAAAGCGAAAGTATGTTTCGATGTTCATTAAACAAAAAGTGAAATTGTTGCAAAAAATGGATAAAGGCATATCCTTTGTTTATCTAAACTTTAACGTTTTGTTTATCTAAACTTTGTTTATCTTTAACGCCGCGGCGCACAATGAATTGGAAATTGATCTTTCAGCACTATCCTTATCTTCAGGGCAGATGTTTTTATTTTATTTGGCTAATAATTCCTTACTAAATGTAGTATTTCATCTCGATGTACTCCGTCTTTGATATGATTTAAATCAAATTCCTCGTCATTATAATTCGCTTCCGATAGCGAAGAAAGTGACAGAGGTTATTGAAAACAAAAAAATTTAGATTGACAAATTAGTCGGTATTCTCGACACAGCAATTATAGGACTTGAACAGCGGAACTTTGTAACTGAACAAGAAATTATGTCTGTTTATAGAATTAAAGAGAATGTATTATCACATAAAAAATGAAGCAACCTTAACAACTTGCATTGAAAGAAATGTTTAATAAAGTAAACAAATAAATATTAAGCTTTTTTTTTTTTTTTTTTTTTGTAAATTTTGATACTTTTTAGATCATAATTGTTCTTTATTTCATAAATTATGGTTTCATATTTTTAATTTTAGAATTTCTGCATGCCATCTTACCAGATTTAAACTGATGATCTATAATCCAGAAAAATCGATAATCCGGAATCGCCGAAGTCCCGACGAGTCCGGATTAATGACTTTTGACTGTACATTAGAGGAAATTACCATACTTCAGTGATTATTGCCTTTAAACTGCACCCAAATAAATATTTCATCAAAAGTTTGAACTCCGAACTGAAGTTTAATACCGAGTAATTTCCACTTTTTATGAAAAGTAGCCTGATCTAACAGCTCAGGTCATAATGGATATGATGTTAAAGTCAAAAATTTTAAACAGAACTATAAAACAATCTCTCTCTCAAAAAATGTCAATGCATTGTTTTCAATAATATTCCATTATTTCAGAAAAATAGTTAATACAAGTAGGTATACATACTGAAATAGTTTTGGTTAATAGTGTGACAGTTATTTACTGTGGCTTTAAGTAATGAAAGTAGTTACCATAGAATTGTTCTTCAATATGGCTTGAAATGAATTACTTATTTAAGTTAATATTTGATTAAAAAAAGTAACAACAGCATTTATTTGTAAAATTTAATAAATTTCTTTCACCTTTATATCTCCATTTTCAATCTTCGGTTGTTTCTTGGGAGGTTCCATTTTCTCAATTTAAACATCTATAACCAATAAAATGTTAAAGAAAATAAAATCAATATTCAGAAAGTGGGACCTTGTCGAATTTAGTTATATATAAATCTGCAAGATAAAAAAATATATACATTAAAATACAAACTTTTCAATAGTAATTTAATTCTTTATTTTAATTTGGTTATTTCCTTTTCCATCAAAAAAAATAGTAATTGCTTTCTATTCTAGCTAATAAATTTCTCTAAACTTATGTCATTTCAAAATTAATACATGCCACAGGATTCTTGCATTATGCTAATGATGCAGATATTTACATCAGAATCAAGCCCAATAATAATTTTAGAGAGTTATTATTAACCAATCAAAATAAATCTAAACCAAAACTAAATCATACTGAATCAAACTTTCATCAGGGATACGTCACATTTCCTCTTTGCTGTTCTACCCAGATAGATCACTGTCGTGGCTTTTCTTACTGCAACATAAAAAAACGTAAAAGTTCTTTAGAAAGAAGCACTCACAGCACCAATTTTTAAAAAGTTTGTCAGGGCAACTACTTCTTTATGAATCTCTACGCAAGCAACTTCTAAATTATTATACATATACTTGCTGATGAGCCATGATAAATGATAAAGAAGCCTGCTTTGCTGTCAATATACAGCAACCCTAAGGAGAACTTTCTGCAGAAGTGCAATAAGAAAAAAGGTTGGCTGTCAAAGAGTAGTATGCATATTAGAAGTCTTGAAATAAAGATAAATTTTTATTATGTATTTATTATATCTGAAGTTCTTGACGAATGCAGTGAGATATTTAATATGATATGTGCAACGAAGATCGGTACCCAACCATATATATAAGGAAGGAAACTTAGAACCAAATCCATAAAGACATGAAAAAAATTTAAAACCAATAAATATAAAATTCCCAATAAATATGTAAAAATCAAGCAACATAGTAGATGAAACCAGTAGCAATCAAATTAGTAGAAATACAGAGAAAGGAAATACAAAAATTTAATTTCAACAGTTCACCTGAAAATTCTGAATCCCTCCCCAATGCAGTTGATTCCCAAATGTAATGAAATAGTACAAAATCAAATCTTTATGGGCTAATTTAATGTTGAACAAAGGAAAAGAATAATGTCTTAATTATTATTCTTTCCCTTTATTGAATTAAACTAATTTTTTAGTGCTGTATTTTTCTTTATGTACACAGTGATCTGTTGCCCTTTAAATACATCAGATAATTTGCAAAACTTAGTATTGTGCACCAGCTGTCAACCAAATAGATCTTATCGTTGTTCACTTTAGCATATTTTACAACAAAACATATAACTGCAACCACCTTAATAGAAATTTGCAAATTTTCAGAATATGCCAAATGCTCATAGCAATCCTTAAGTCAAGCCACATCCCCATTTTCGTATGCATTTTAAGTTCCAATGATCTTTGTAGACATATTATGATATTTTTTGCCTTAAACTCAATTTTAAAATATGTGATGGTCTAATTTGCTAGCAATGGAAAAATCAGCAGTAAAATTTCTGCAATAACGTAACATTTTGTTGCAAAATTGCTAAATGGAACAATGAAGAGAAGCCTTTGGTAGAGAGCCGGTTGTTTGTCAACTTTTGAACCTCCAAAAAAATGCTAATATTTCTACATCAAAAGCTATAATTGGAAGTTTCTAGTGTTTCCTTTCGATTCTAAATGGCAGCACCATCCTATGAATGCTCAATATCTTGCAGTTTTGAAATTAAATATAACTCGTTCCAAGGTATCATGCTGAAGATAGATAAATTCTATTGGAGGGAAAGAAAAAATTCAAAACCTGCAAATATATGACATACACGTGCTGAATCTTATATATTTACTTCATTTCAGCCAGGAGTGATAATTAACAGAAGATTATTCATACAATTTTAAAAATAGTATACAGTACAAAGTCCGTAATCCAGACATCCATTATCCGGAATGATCTATAATCCAGACCTCAAAGCCACAAACTTTTTTTTTTGGTATGCTTTTACGCATGCGCGTTTAATGTATAACGGAGGGCATAAGCTAGGCTAAAATCATCTTTACTAATTCTAAGGCATTTCAGTTAATGTTGTAGATTGCGCTGTTCCTTAATCTTCTAATTGGATCCGGCTTATTATTTTTTGCAGACTGTTAGAGCAATTTTATAAAAATTAAGCTTGAACTTTCGATTATGTCAAAAAGAGATTCAAATTCTGGAGCTGCAAAAGATCTACAAAGAGAAAGCATGTTTCGATGTACTTCTTGCGATAGTGAAGAAAGTGACAGAGAGGTTATTGAAAACGAAAAAATTTCGATTGACAAGTTAGTTGGTATTCTCAACACAACAATTACAGGACCTTCTTAAACAGTGGTGGAAACATTGTAACTGAACAAGAAATTATGTCTGTTTATAAAATTAAAGTGAAAATATTAGCACAAAAAACGAAACAACTTAAACAACTTACATTGAAAGAAATGCTTAATAAAATAAACAAATAAACATTAAGCTTTTTTTTGTAAATTTTGATACCCTTTAGATCATAATTGCTCTTAATTTCATAAATTATGGTTTTTCATATTTTTAATTGTATAATTTCTGCATGCATCTTACCAGATTTAAATTGATGATCTATAATCCGGAATCGCCAAAGTTCCAATGAGTCTGGATTACGGACTTTGTACTGTACAGTATATACCGGCATCCACACCGAGGTTACCGCGCCAATAGATGGCAGCACGAGTCTTCTTCTTTCCCATTCCATGACATGACAGAATTTCTTTATATTATAACAGTTTATGATGTAAAAAATTTTTATGATTAATTTAAAAGTTGTTTAGGATTCAATATTATGTTCATGCAGGAATGAGAAGTTTACTGACCCTGCATTAGGACTGAATTCTTTTTTTATTCCACTAAAGTTTCATTCGTCTCTGTTTAGCTAAAATTTTAATTTCAGCACTTTACCTTTTCTTAAGAAAAGACTCATCGATTTCAAAATTGCCCTCTGGGGTCAAAATTTTGTAGCAAAAGAAATTTGTCCTCTGTTTTAAGATAAAAATAGCATGTTTCCGAGATAAATTTCACAGTTGGGAGGACAGAAGGAAAAACATTTCTAAGGCCCCTATTAGACGCAAACTAGAATTTATACAAAAGTTGAAAAGGAGCCCCTAGGAAGCCAAAGGGATTGAAAATCGAAATAAGAGCTTTGAGGTGTATCCAATAATAAAATTGGTTCTTCCTGAACAAAAAGACATATTACAACCTATATTTAAAAAAAATAAAAAAGGGGTCCTTACAGTCCTCGATAATCTAAAGTGTGTGTGCATGGGGTGGAATTCTTGGTATCGTAGCATGAACTATGGTTTTTTTACTACATATTATCTAAAGCCGCCCAGACGGTATAGCGGTTAGGGGAGCCTGACTGCGATACCAAAGGGCCTGGGTTCGAATCCTGGAGAAGGCATGGATGTAAAATTGTCTGTCACTTCATAGGATGATAGCGGTGGCCGCCTATTGGGTGCCTCCATAATAAAATGGTCACCACTTCAGGTCTTAGTAGTGGCCAATGCCGTTATAGACAAGTGCCCGCGATTCGGGGGGGGGGAATTATCTAAACCATAAAATATAACTTCAAAAATGCAACATACTTTCTCATCTGAGCGTTTCATTTTACAATTTTTTTTTTTTTTATTTTCAGTTACAGCATGATACGATTTATGGGAAAACTCAAATAAGCGGTACTTCGTGCAATTTTTTGATGCCAAGAGGGAAATTAACATCAAAAAGCGCTTTCCAAAAATTCCCTCTTCAGCCTGATGTCGGGGGAAAAACTGCTGGGCGAAAATCGCGTAAGGCGAAGTGTAGCATTTGCATTGAGATGGTAAACCATTCACATAGAACAAATTGTAAATGATTAGTTATTGTTGTGATTAAGTAAATCTACATACCATTTTTCATCTTAGTATTTTGTATTATGATTATATATAACTCCATTATTAACTTTTATACTTCTCTTTTTTAATTCTTACCATTAATTTGAACAATTATTCGTAATATATGGTAGAAAGCATGTTCTTTATATAAATGTAGTAATGATCACGAAAATGCAATATATATCACATAGTTAATGATGGAAGTTAAAAACAATAAAATATGCGTGTATTTCCACAATAATATTGCATCCTCCAAATGTATTCCAGGCTGTTCAATCATCCAGTCAGGTTTATATTTTACATTCCGGATTCTTAAATGTATATAATTTTGATTAATAAGGTTAAGAGGGTTACTTTTACTCTTTTTTTCTTGTTTAAATGTGAAAATAGTTTTCATGTAGGTAACCAAAGAAATGCAATTCTGAAATGCATAACAGCAGGGAAAAAAGATTTGTAACAAGTGCTTCTATGGCTTTCTACGACTTTATGCAGTTGTTTAAATTTCAGAAAGACACCAATCAAATAGAATAGGATACGCTTATTTAAATTTGTCTGTATTTATTCCATGAAAAGTTAAATCCTAAAATATTATTTTTGTGCAATTTGAGCATTGTCTACAACAAGTGGTTTCAAACTGTCAGCCCCCGAAGCAATTTTATGTCGGTCGGTGAATATTTTTATGCTTGTTGAATACAGTGATGCAATTTAGATTTTTTTGACTTGTTTGAAGTTTCAGTTTATTTACATTCATTACTATTAACATTGAACAAATGTCAGAAAAAAAAACTCTAAAAATAAATCTTATTCAACGATTTGAAGATGTAAATTTAATTAAATTTTATTAGTTTTCATGAAAAAATAAAGAAATGCTCATGTTTCAGCTAATACAGTCAAAAGTCTTTAATCCAGATGTCCATAATCAGGAATGATCTATAATCCGGACCTCAAAGCTACAAATTTTCTGCGCATGCGTAAACGCATTATGCATTTACGCATGCGCGTTTAATGTATAATAGACGGTATAAGCTAAAAATGATCTAATTATCTATTTCAGTTAATGATGCAGATTGCGTTGT